AATTAACCAAGGCCAAAAGGAGCAGATGGCACAGCTGCTTGACAGCCTGTCACACGCACGGGCCGACCGGTTCACTGTGGAGGATGTGCAGGCCCTAAGAAGGCAATACGGGCTTTAACACGGGGCTGCTGAGTTCCCGACCCTCCGAGACAGCATTGCGTGGGTGAAGCTGCACCCATAAGAACCCCTGTTTGGACTGTTGGACATTGTACTTATTTTTATAGCCAGAATAATATATATTCTACAATCTGGTTTTTATTGGTTATAAATATTATCTTCTGTACTAGAGCCAACACATTTATATTTAATAACTATATTCAGAACTTAGCAAATTACATTCTAATTTGTAGTACACATTTTCTTCTAATGACCTACCAGTTATAAACTCAGTGTCTTTAGTTCTGTAAAAGCAAATGTTAACAGTGATGTTTCCATCACTTTCTGTCCCCTTGATATACACAAAGTCCATGTTATTGTCAGTTGAGATGAAGTACAACACTCATATCTAGAAGATCGTTATAGTTTATTAATTTAGAGCCACAAGGAATTTATTTTTCTAATATGAAAACAAACATTGCCTAATAAAAAGTTGCCAAAAATTCCAATCATTTTTTACTATGTGACTTCCCTTATATAGGTACTGTGAGCAATAAAGTGGTCTGAAACAGAGCCAGCCTGAATTTGGATTTGAATTGTCACCTTGCCCGTCTCCCAAACATTCAAATGTCCCCACGCGATGTTTTGTTTTCTGCTTTATTGAGTATATATTTATTCCTTACTGTAAACGTGAAGGGAAAAGGTCATTAGATGCTCCTTTTTCTGGGCTAAAGGTATTTCCTGTACAATAAGCACTCGGGCCTTTGGAAAGAAGGTGTATTTATTTATTTAACGTGTGTGTCCCTGCATGTCTCCATGTGCGCCCCATGCATGCAGGCTGCCGAGGCCAGGGGAGGGCACTGGATCCTCTGGGCTGGAGTCAGAGATGATGTGAGCCTCTTGGCACATGAGCCCTCGGCAAGAACAGCCATGCCTCCAGTCTCGACGCTCAGGCCTTAACCGGTGCACTGTCTTTTACTTCTGTAGTCCACGGCGTTCTTTTTCAGGGGTATTTATTTCTTCATTTGAAAGTTACTGTGAAAGAGTAACGTCATTTTCGTATCTTTTTTATAATTAGAGTATTAGGACTCATTGTGGGTAAAATGGCACCTTTCAAACTCTGCATTGTTTTCTCTTGAAAACCTACTGTAATTGGTTCTCTTAAGTTATTGTAACAGTAGACAGTGGATGCTATATATACATACATGATGGCAGTCTCTTAGCAGTCTAGCATGTGTTGATGTCACAGATAACTGAGCCTGTTCAAGGACTCCCTGCGGCTGCTCACATACACACATCGCGTGATGCATTTCTCTGAAGATGTCCTCATCGGGGTGGATGACAACTGCTTTCATCTACACTGCCATGAATGCTATGCACATGCAATTACATAGGAACACTCTCCAGGAGACAAACAACCGGCGCCCCCTCCTGGGACGCAGTCCTGTGACAGCTCTCAGGAGCCACTGTATGCAGGTCTGGCCCAAGATGCTGAGTGCCAGCTGCTGGATCAGAGAAGCTCCTACTGTTGAGCCATCTCTGAAGAGGAGAAATTCTAACCCATCTTGGAGTGAGGTGAGACACCAGCCAGCCTCCTGGGAAGCAAGACATGCTAGAGGACAGACAGGTAAAGACACAAGCCATGTGGCAATAAATAGAAATGGGTTAATTCCGGTGTAAGAGTTAGCTAGTAACAAGCCTGAACTATTGGTCAAGCACATTTTGGAACTGCCTTAAATTGCTTGTCAGGCAGTTTGTCCCGGCAACAAGACAAGTAACTAGTACAGGAAGACTCCACCAGCGGAGGGACAAGACACATGAGATGCACTGGTGTCTCATATGACACCATTTTTGCTATATTCCTTGTAAAATAGCTAGCTTTACCATTCATTAACTTTTAGACTTCTGCAGAAATGTCAACATATCCACAGAGATTAGGCTAAACGTTATAAAACACTCCATGGCTGTGAGAATTTAAAAACCCTGGGTTCATTTCCTACAACTGGAATTTACAGTGACAATCTATTTTACAACTCAGGTAAAACTCAACAAATCCTTGCTTGGGGCGGGGTGAAGGTAGGGTCAGAGATCAGGTCCAGTGTTCTACAGCTGAGCTGCACCCTCAGCTTCAACTCACCACTGTCTCTATTTCCCGAAACAGGGTCTCACTGAGTAACTGGCGAGGTTAGAGCTCGCTCTGTTCAAGGCTGGACTTGAACTTAGAGATCTTCCTGCTTCTGTCTCCACGACACCACCACACCTGGCCTCAGTTCACTTGGGTAAAGGTGGGAATCTGATGATACAGAGAGAAAGGTTGGTTCCTAATGCTGTTGGTTGACAAGTTTGGCAAATAGGACTCTGTTGAGACCAGACTCGTCTCAATGGCTTGTAACATTGATGACTTCTGCTGCACAGCAAATGGGATGGCTATTCTTGGTTGTGAACTTGACTACATCTGGAATTAAAACCCAAGTGGGTGAGCACACTTATTTTCATTATTATTATTATTGATTTTTATTGAGCTCTACATTTTTCTCTGCTCCCCTCCCTTTCAACCTTCATCCCAAGGTCCCCATGCTCCCAATTTACTCAGGAGATCTTATCTTTTTCTATTCCCATGTAGATTAGATCCACGTCAGTCTCTCCTAGGGTCCTCACTGTTGTCTAAATTCTCAGGGATTGTGGTTTGTAAGTTGGTTTTCTTTTATGTTTAAAAATCACTTATGAGTGAGTACATAAGATAATTGTCTTTCTGGGTCTGGGTCACCTTACTCAAAATGTTTTCTAGCTCCATTCATTTGCCTGCAAATTTCAAGATGTCGTTATTTTTTCTGCTGTGTAATACTCCATTGTGTAAATGTACCACATTTTCCTTATCCATTCTTCAGTTGAGGGGCATTTTAGGTTGTTTCCAGGTTCTGGCTATGACAAATAATGCTGCTATGAACATGACTGAGCCCTTGTCCTTGTGGCACGATTGCGCATCCTTTGGATACATACCCAAAAGTGGTATTCCTGGATCTTGAGGAAGGTTGTTTCCTAATTTTCTGAGAAATCACCACACTGATATCCAAAGGGGCTGTACCAGCTTGCACTCCCATTCAACAATGCAGAAGTGTTCCATTTTCCCTACAACCTCTCCAGCATAAGTTGTCATCAGTGTTTTTGATCTTGGCCATTCTTACAGGTGTAAGATGGAATCTCAGAGTTGTTTTGATTTGCATTTCTCTGATGACTATAAGGATGTTGAACATTTCCTTTAAGTGTCTCTCAGCCATTTTAGGTTCATCTGTTGAAAGTTATCTGTTTAGGTCTGTACTCTATTTTTTATCTTGTTTTTTTTTAAAATATTTATTTATTATGTTTACAATATTCTGTCTACATGTATGCCTGCAGGCCACAAGAGGGCACCAGACCCCCACTACAGATGGTTGTGAGTCACTATGTGGTTGCTGGGAATTGAACTCAGGACCTTTGGAAGAGCAGGCAAAGCTCTTAACCTCTGAGCCATCTCTCCAGCCCTGTACTCTATTTTTTATTGAATTATTTGTTCTTTTGATGACCAATTTCTTGAGTTCTTTGTATATTTTGGAGATCAGACTTCTGTCTGATGTGGGGTTAGTGAAGATCTTTTCCCATTCTGTAGGCTGTCATTTCATCTTGTTGACCAGGTCCTTTGCTTTACAGAAACTTTTCAGTTTCAGGAGGTTCAAGTGTACTTCCTACTTCCTCTTCTACAAGGTTCAGTATGGCTGGCTTTATGTTGAGGTCTTTCATCCATTTGGACTTGTGTTTTGTGCATGTTGATAGATATGGGTCTATTTTCACTTTTACATGTTGATATCCAGTTATGCCAGCACCATTTGTTAAATATGCTTTTTTTTGTTATTTTTTGCTTCTTTGTCAAAAATCAGGTGTTCAAAGGTGTGTGGGTTAATATCTGGGTCTTCTATTTGGTTCCATTGGTTCTCCTGTCTGTTCTTATGCCAATACCAGGCTGTTTTCAGTACTGTAGCTCTGTAGTAGAATTTGAAGTCAGGGATTGTGATGCTTCCAGAAGTTCTTTTACTGTACAATATTGTTTTGGCTAGCCTGGGTCTTTTGCTTTGAAGTTCAGTACTGTTCTTTCAAGGTCTGTGAAGAATTTTGCTGGGATTTTGATGAGCAATGCATTGAACCTGTAGATTGCTTTTGGTAAGATTGCCATTACCTACCCAAGAGCATGGGAGATCTTTCCACTTTCTGGTGTCTTCTTCAATTTCTTTCTTCAAAGATTTAAAGTTCTTGTCATTCAAGTTTTCCACTTGTTTGGCTAGAGTTACTCCCCCTTGATCTCCTTTTGGTGTCTTACTGCTCTGGCTAGGACCTCAAGAACTACATTGAATAGATAATAGAGTGGACAACCTTGTCTTGCTCCTGATTTCGGTGGGATCGCTGAGAGTTTCTCTCCATTTAGTTTGATGTTGGCTGTTGGCTTGCTGTATATTGCCTTTATTATATTTTGGTATGTTCCTTGTATCGTGAGGAGTTATTCTTAAGTAAATTATTTGAAATGGGAAGACCCATTTTTAATCTGGATCTTCTAAGGTACAAAGATCCACCTTTAACCAGGGCCACGTCCTTTGGCAGCCTACATAAAGGACATTCCTTTATTGGCATTAAAGCCTACTTCCTAGGGATGCTGGTATATACTAAAGACCAGCTGAGACAGTAGCCTCATGGACTGAACAGCTACTGGGTTCTCGGATTTTCTGCTGGTAGACAGCCATTGTTGGATTAGCTGAACCACAAATATCCTTTCTACGTACTTATAGACTTATTCCATCAGTCTGCCCCTCTGAGAACTCCCTGTACTACAGCAAATGAATATCTGTTCTTATAAAAATTTCTGTGCACACACCAAATTCATTAGTATTTACATTTATTTCACGTATGCTGTTTACACACTCATTGAACAAAACTGGAATGCAAACAAATGTACAAATACCATATTAAGCATTATCAAATAAAATAACTGGCACTAGTGTTATATAAGCACATGAATGGACGCAGTGCGGAGAAGGACGGTGAAAGACTGCAGCCCGGGGCATTTCCTTTATCAGAAGAAAATGCTCAGTAGCACCATAATGGTAATACTTAAAAGAAACACCTACAGTGGAGTCTCGACTGCTGTGGGCCAGTCTGCTAGGAAAGTTCCATGGGAAGTACTCTGGCCAGCTTCTGCTTGTGTCAGCTGAACATCCTCCATCAACAAAAGCAAAGGAAACAAAGCCACAGACCTTTTGTATAAGCTTGGTACAAGCTCTGCATTGCTTTGAGTTCATGGTTGGAAAAGATATACATGTTAAAAACCGAGGTTATGTAATATTACACTTACTAAAGCCTGAGTGTGTCTTTGGTAGGCAAATACTTTTTCAGCAAAGTTAATAATCACATTCATGTTTATCTATTTCCTGTATTTTTCTCTATATCTGAGGTGACTAGAGGAGACGTTATGGGAAATGATATAGCAAATCCTCCACTAACCAGGCTCTTAAAACCCGGTCTCTCCCAAAGGCACCAAGAATCAAAGGGCACTGACCTCCCTTAGAGCAGGTGACTTTGTGATGCTGTGTCCTAATGGATTTCATTTGTAGCTCTGTCTTTGTGCTGCTGTCAGTACACTTAGTTACCTACGCCTATCTTTTTCTTCTAAAATGGCATCAACAATCCATGAGATATGCAACAGTACCAAGTATTTCTACTTCAAGTTGTACAAAAACTGCCACGATCTTGCTCAAGTGTCTAAGTATCCAAATGGTCACCAGTGGGCTGCATTAAGCTCTATATCCACATTGCATGTGAAGAAAGAAATGAAATTTAAGCTCAGTTATGAAGAGAGACGTCACAAAGAGGATCACATACTGAGTAACCAGCCAGGTCCTTTCACACCATCCCTTAGTGGTTTCAATAACATGTCACTAACCACTATCCCCAAGCCTCGATTTTTCTTAACAATGCAGAACAGCATTAGTATCGTATGATTATAAATTAAGCCCAATTTCTATCTAAATACACAGGTATGTGCATCAAGCATTGTTTTGTGACAAGAACACAAAATATGCTTTTTCTTAAGTTATTATTCTCATAATAATGCACTTTTAAAGCCTTCATTTCATAATTTGGTAATTAACATCCACATGGAACACAATGCTTTGCTAAACATACAAAATGTATTTGCATCTTGATTATGAAACCTGGCTTTTGCTGGTAACTTAAACCTAACAGTCACGCATGGCTCAACCAGCTCCAAACAAGGCTGTTCAGTGGTTATTACTCTGCAGCATTCTGGACCTAAATTTCAGTCTGAATAGCTACCTTCAAGTCCACTGTCTGATGTGGGTGGTTGTTATTTGTCTCTTTCAGTCCATCACCAAAGCACAAATCACCACTAGGCTTCAGCGCGCTTTTATTGGGGCCGTGCTCCTCTGCGGCATGATTCGGCTGTGGAACGTCTGAGCAGGAAGCAGTCTTGGAGAGCAGAGAACTGCCGCACTGGTGTGGTGAGTTCTCCAGACGGTCATTCTCTACCTCGGGAAGGATGCTCACAGTCGCAAAGCGGGCGTGACAGTCACTGGAACCATGGCTACACGATGTTCTCATGCTTTCTAAGTCTGAGCAGCTGAATTCGGAAAAGTGACTCGAGTGGGAATCCGCTACAGACGGCATACTGTCACTGAGGGATGGGGCCTCAAACTCACTCGAGTTTGTGCTTTGCTGTTCCAACAACTGGGCATCCATGTCTTCTCTGGTCTCATTTATCTTCACGTTGCCCTTTTTCCTCAATTTACCACCTTTTGATTTTTTTCCTGTTGTAGCTTCTTTGGACCACTTGGTGGCACCAGATTTACCTTCAGGCAATCCACTGGATGACCCACCAGTGTGGCTCCGGGCAGCGCTGCCATCTTCCACACTGCTGCTCCCACTGCTGTGCCGGAACTTGAACGGCTTGGACTCAATATCCACTTGCACTTCCATGCTGTTTCCTTCTCTGGAATGAGAGCAGGAAAAACACCAAAGCCTCAATACAGAAGCTTGCTGGACATGTGAGTGCAGGCTACATTCTACAACATAAAGCTACATAGAAGAGGACTATCTTTAGCCAGATGCCAATGGTACACACCTTTAATCCCAGCACTCAGGAGGCAGAAAGTAGGTGAATCTCTGTGAGCTCAAGGCCAGGACAGCCAGGGCTACAGAGTGAAACCCTGTCTCAAAACAGAAAAGACTAAAGACTGTCTTTGTTCCCTTTTTTTTTTGGGGGGGTGGGGGGAGTTGTTTGTTTTTATATGCATATATATCCTGGCTGACCTAGAGCTCACTGTGTAGACGAGGCTGGCCTTGAACTTAGAGGTCTATTTGCCTCCACCTCCTGAGTGCTGGGCTTAAAGGTGTACACCACTATAAACAACTGTCTTAATGTTTCAATTAAAAATATACTACTTTATGGGTATTTGTTTGTCCCTGTATGAGCAGGTGACAGCAGAGGTCAGAAGTGGGCATCACAGATCGAAGTGGGCGTGAGCCACCTAAAGTGAGCACAGAACTAAACCCAGGCTGGCTAGACAAGGAGCAAGCACCCAACTGCTGGGCCTTCTCTGTAGCCTCTGAGTGCTTCACGTTTTTAAAATAGTAACATTTACTGCTTTTCTGTCCTGGGCACGACCATCACCTAACTTCACCAACCCAAACCCTACACTAGACTTAGAAGTCAGCTCCCATTCTCCCGCGAACCACAGAGGCTTCTCTACCTAAATGGATTCACCTCCTTTCAACATCTCACTGTTTTCTTAAGAGACTGTGCCTAATGATAGGGATAATACTTTTTAAATGCATTTAAAAACACTTCCAATCTTATAGGAACATTCTTTCTTACCTGTCCAGAGGGATGTAGGAATTTAGAATGGATCCTGCCATTGCTTTGGTGCTGGCATTATCACTCACTGTTCCCAAGCTCACTGTGCCGGATTCTCCACTTAGACTGTACCGTTCTTTCTGTACATCTGCTTGTACTTCCAACCTTAAAGAGGAGGGTAACACATAAACCCACAATCATTTATAGTTCAGCAATCATAATATGTATCTTTAAATAATTCATTTAAAAACTTCAAATATGAAAATTTATTTTAGACACCCTAGTTTTTCAGTCCCCACTTATTTGATTATTCAGATTATACTGTGTGTACTGAACAACACCCAAGAGAAACTAAGAGAATACTACCAAAAGGAAAAACAAGACAAATCATCTGAATTTAAAGATCTCCACTATATATATCTCCACTATATATATACTGCACTAGGATGCAGCCCTTCCTTTGTCATGTTTCAGTACAAAATACAAAGTCAGAATATATTAATCAATAAACATAACAGATCAATTAATAAAAAAAAAGCCCTCTTTAAGTGGATATAGGGGAAAACGCCTTTAATCTCAGCCTTCAGGAGACGGGTCACTATGAGTTTGAGGCTAGCCTGGCCTATCTGGTGAGTTCCAGGCTAGCCAGTCTACACAGGGCTTCAGCTTACACTCCACTGCAGTCAGACCACCAACACTTCCCTCTCATTGTGCCTGGCTTCTGCTACTGGTGTATCTAGATGCAAAACAATTCAAGTAATGGGGCTGGAGAGAGGGCTCCGTGGTTAAGAGCATCAGCTGCCCTTCCAGAGGACAGGGCTCATTTCCCAGCACTCACAACCTGTGACTCCAGTTCCAGGGGATCTGATGCCCTCCTCTGGCCGCTATAGGCAATGTTCTCACAAGATGCAAGTGCATATGGGTGGTAAAAATACTCATGTGCATGCAATAAAGATAAAATTTTAAAAAATTAGCCGGGCAATGGTGGCGCATGCCTTTAATCCCAGCACTTGGGAGGCAGAGGCAGGCGGATCTCTGTGAGTTCGAGACCAGCCTGGTCTACAGAGCTAGTTCCAGGACAGGCTCCAAAGCCACGGAGAAACCCTGTCTCGAACCCCCCCACACACACACCAAAAAAATTTAAAAGATGAAAAGTGATAACTTTCTGCCATAAACTCATACAGGATTTCAGAAAGGGTATCAGATCACACCAAGTAAAAATCACACTCTATCTCAAATAAAAATGAAAAGAAAACCCTATACTAAGAAAGGCTCTAATAAAAACTTCAGCCCACATCTGATTTTGTAATAAGAGGTAATAATATATATCACTACAGCTTAGTTTCTGCCTAACTGTTAACAACCTAAAATAAGATAAATACAACTTAAAGTTGTTCATCTACCTCCTTCCACATAGAAAAGCTAATAAACAGAATAGTGAAGAAGGAAAACAAACCATGGTAAGGTAAATGTTAATTTCTCCTCCCTATCTCCATAGGCATTAGTAAAAGACTTGGTGAGAGATGACCATTACTATTTCAGGATGCAGGCAGTTTTCCAGTCCTGGGGTATCCTGACTCCACCCATTCCCCAAGCCTCCAGCTGTCGCCCAGAAGCAAGGTCTAGGCTAAGCATGGCCTTCACTTGGTTGTGCACAGACGCAGCTCCAGCAGGTGCGATGTTCTTTCTCAGGACTTAAGCCTCTACTCCAGCATTAGTACCAAACACCACCTCTTTGGCCTTAGAGTAATTATCGTGCTCTGTATTCAGGCTGTTCATCTAACTAATGTCTGTAGTTACCAAAACGCAGCTCTTTCTTACCTGTTGAAGCAATTTACCATGGCACTTCCCGACAGACTCCCAGTGATGCTGGCTCCCGCCAGTGCCATGGTGCTGGCGGTCTCGCTCAGGTTGTCCCGGATGGCGCCTATTCGGTCCATGTGGCTGCCGCTGGCACTCAAACTGCCGGTCAGACCACCAACACTTCCCTCGCCTATGCTAGGATTGTGCCTTGCTTCTGCCACTGATGTTGTATCTAAATATAAAATAAGTCAAGATACAAAGAATGATAATTCATTTTCCTGATAATTCCCACAGCATTTCAGAAAGGGTATCAGATCACATGAAGTACAAATCACTCTCGTGGTTAAGCATGAAGAGAGCCATTTTGGGTGAACAGCTCAATCTGAGACTGGTCCTAAATTTAAGATGGTCACTAGTTATTGTTATAAATCCAGAAGATTTAGGAATTTTATTTATTTGCACCTCCCCTCCCCCGCTGTCACCCCCGAGACAGTTTCTCTGTAGCTTTGAAGCCTATCCTGGAACTTGCTCTGTAGACCAGGCTGGCCTCAAGCTCACAGAGATCTGCCTGCCTCTGGGATTAAAGGTGTGCACAGCCCAGCAGATTTAGGAGTTTTAAATAAACCAGTGATTTAAAAGGCCTCCCTTGCCAGCACTAGGTTCCAGTGAGAGATCTTACTTTCTAGGTCAGTAAGATTGGGACAAAAGCTGACCTCTAGATACACTAGATCTAACTGTGTCAGAACCCTATTCTAATTTTACAGTACTATTCACACTCTTAGGAATTAGAAACATTTATGCCAACATCTGAGTTTCTATTACATATCCAACCCTGTGACAAAATCCATGGGAAACCCAGCAGAGGCAGGGGTGGGGAGTTCCAACAGTGCATGCCTGTCTCCCTGGCACCACTGTTATCACGTGACAAGGGAAGGCCTCTTATGATGAGACTCAAAGGCAGTGAAAAGAAGGCCATAAAATTCTTCTGGAGAGTATTCTAGGCAGAGGTAATTCCAAGTTTCAAATCTCAGAAAGAGGAGTTCTAACCGTCATCTTCATGGAGAGGTGGCCTAAGACAGGACGGGAAGGGGGGAAGCATTCAGACAGTCAGGGCAGAAGGTGAGACTAAGGACTGGACACCTTGCTCCCCATGTAGACGATCAAGAGAGTCAAGAGAAGGCACACAACAGAAAGGTGGCAGGGCTCGGAGGACCTGGCTGGAATACTTGCAGAGGGCACAAAAGAGCTTCATTCTAGACATTTATTGACAGAAATTGCTGGATACAGAACAAACAAGCTGGTCAGCTGACGTTTTTCCTGGAGTGCCACCTCTATCCTCCGGCATTTCTGCCCACTATGGTTCTAATCTGTAAGTCTTCTAACAACACAGAAGGCCATCGGCATGCAGTTCTTTAACTGCACTTCTCTTCACATCCTTCCCATACTACTTCATAAAGGTTCTAATCTACAGCGTACTCTCAGGAGGAGCCAGGCACCAGCATCAGAACTACGCCATCCTCTCGCGCATGCTTCTCTCCACAGCTCCTTTCCCAGCTCTGCTTCTGGATGAAAACTACAAGGCCGTCAGGTGTGCACCTCTAATCCCAGCACACTCAGAGAGAGTCTTGTCTATACACCAAAGCTCAGGCCAGCCAAGGCTATACAGTGAGACCCTGTCTCAGAGAGGAAGAGGGAGGGAGAGCGTCTGAGCCAGAGTGAGAACAATGAGGTCTCACAAAAGAAAGACAATGGAAATAAACACATTTCTTTTTCTGTTTAAAGGACTTACCTATAGCTGTGTTAGGTCCACCAACATTTATGTCATTTTCGTCATCAAACTCAATTCTGACTCCTTTCCCATTGCCGGCTGAAACTCCACAACCCCCACTTCGGCAGAGGGAAATTGGAACAACACCATACACATAAGCTAGCATAATGGGAACGCCAATGCCTAAAAGGGAATTAAATTAAATATCAGAAACCAGAAACTAAATCACAGACTATGAGGTGTAGGTCTTTTCAGAAGGTGCACAGGGGCTAAGGATTTGGCCGGAACACAAGCAAATGCATGATTCCCAGGTAGCCTCAGGGAATGGAGGGAAAGACAGAATCTGTGAGCTTCTTAAGCGCAAACCTCTGACTCAAGGGAAGGGCTGCTCATCATCTATCCTGACAACAGGTTCTCTGGGGATGAACACAAGCCTTATATGTATGTCTGAGACATGCCCCCACCCTAAACTAGGTTCTTCAGTCTACAGCACTTTTAATGAAGTTGCCTGAGAAATCTCCTGTAGGTCCTACTTAAACTACCCCTCATCTTAAAAGTGATCCTCTTAGTAACCTAATAGTCAGAAATCTCTCTTTTGTCAAATTCCTAAGGTGTTCCAAGGGAAGTTCTAAAGCATGCTCTTACCTACAGTCACCGCGGCCACCACCGGAGACACAATGACAGACAGCGTCACACCACCTGCTATGGCCAGGTTCCGTTTGTGTTTTGAAACATCTTTGCCTTCATAGCGATTATGAATCTTAAATTTAAAAGGGAATGGAAATTTAGAGGAGAAAACTTTATATATTTAGTTTAGATAAAATAGTCCTACATGTACAAGAAAGCTGAAGTAATTTCTCACACAATTTCAGTCAAATGCCCTAATTCAAGGTAACCACAGCATCACAAACTGCTCATTAAGGACCTGCTTACAAAAGGTGGCAGTAGCTCAGGAGATTTAGTTCGTGCCGTAAGTTCAAAGCCATCCTTGCGTACATGGCTAGTTCAAAGCTGGCCCACACCACGAGATGCCATGGCATAAAAACAGTACTAGAGTCCACAGGTTTCTTTCTAAACAAGACTCCCTCGAATCAGCCCCAGAAGAGGGTCCCACAATCTTTTTCACTCCTACAAGTTGAGCTAAAAAGGCACCGTATGAAACAAGTATCATTTAAGTGCAACTTTTTTCCAGACACCTTTTTATGATAAAAAATTAACAGATGACTCAAAAATCCTATCTACTTATTTACAGTTTAAACAGGTAAAGACAAAGAAAAATAATGGTTACCAGGAGTTAAATCTATTAGCATCATTGTACAATCCATATCAATAACAGAATCATTGCCATAAAAATAGCTTATGAATTATTAAATGAAACTGGGAAATAGTTTGGCAGCTCTGTTCTTGTGGCCTGCAAAGGTCAAACTAAAGAAGGGCACCCCCATCTGTTTCAAGACACCCCGGGAACAGCCTCCAGACCACACAGGTAGTCTATAAATAGAATGCTAGGTCCTTTCTATGTTCTTTTCCCCAGTCATTCCTAGACACAGTTCTAAGCAGAGCAAATCCAAGCCTATACATACGCAGGGTAGATCTGTGAGGACAGGCTGCTAAGAGAAAGGAATTCTTGCTCCCACCCCCACCACTTTTCTTTCTTTTCTTTTTTCTTTTCCTTTTTTTTTTTGAGACAGGACCTTGATACACACACACACACACACACACACACACACACTCTAGGCTGGCTCCCAAAGTACTGAGATTATAGATATACACCAAAAGCCAATTAATTCTGGCATCCTTACCCACTGGTATGGACTAACAGTGACCACCACATCATCCTAATAGTTTTGGTTCAACTTAACTGTTTCTGTTTGCTAATTCTTTTCCTTCCAGTTTCTTTCATTTAAAAAAAAACTTTATTTATTATATGTGTATGGGTGTACATATATTACCTATATGTACCATGTGTCCCATGTGTGTGCCCTGTGGCCATGGAGGCCAGAAGAGGGCATCAGATCCCATGGGATTAGAATTACAAACAGTTGTGGGCTGTTTGTTGGTAGGAAGTTCTTCTAGAAGAGCAGTAGGTGCTCTTAATCACTAAACCACCTCCCCCACCCCCTTGAGAACTCAAACCCTCAGTTTCTTAAGAAGTGGCTTCATGTAGCTCAGGCTCTTCTCAACTCCCCATGTAGCCAAGGATGATCTTCTGATCCTTGTGTCTCTACCTCTTAAATGTGGAGGTTAAAGGCATGCCTAGTTTGTTACTCTTGCAATGTTTGCTCTAACTAAAAGCTCAGTTTTCAGGTACTTTCTTGACTTCTTAGCTTTTCCTGAGCTGATGTGGATCCCGAACATCACAGAAAATTAAAGAGAAAAACTAATCCATCAACTTTCCCTTTAGGTGCATGTATGAACAACACAAAACATTTCTCGATACAAGGTCTTGCACTGCAGACTGGCTGGACTGTGCTTTAGCTTCTGTCCTTGGTTACAGACTGCCTGTCAGTCTATAAACTCACTCTCGTATGCACTCTGTGTCTTTCCCTCCTAAGGACCTGAGCAAGTAGTTCTGCTTTCAATAAAAAAATCTTTTTGGTACTCCACATGGAAATGTCCACACTAAGCCTGATGTGGTGGTGTGCACACCTTTAATCCCAGCATTAAGGAGGCAGAGGCAGGCGGATCTCTTGAGTTTTGAGGCCAGCCTGGTCTACAAAGTATAAGTTCCAGGATTGGCAGAGAAACTTTGCCTGGAAAAATCAAAAAGAAAAAGGAAAAGAGAGAGAGACAGACAGACAGACAGACACACTAAGCGAGCCCACACTAGACTGACTCATGAGCATGCCCATGGGGCATTTCCTGACTCATGACAGACACAGGAGGGCCCAGCCCACTGCATGCCCATGGGTAGTCTAGTGTGCATACCACCATGCCAGACTTCGTGTGGGCATTCTCTCTGTTAAGGTTCCTTCTTCTCAAATGACTCTAGCTTGTGTTAAGTTGACAAAAAATTAACCAGGACAGAAAGTGATTTTAATAATTTTTCATGTAGAGTACCCAAAAGATCCATGCTGTCTTTATTTCTGCTGTCTTTCAGATTGTTCTCAGGGCCAGCTCCACAGTTAACAGTGCGTGTGCCTGTTCTTACAAAGGACTGCATTGATGACCTGCACCTGCAGCACCTCACAGCTGTCTGCAACTCTACTGCATTGATGACCTGCACCTGCAGCACCTCACAGCTGTCTGAAACTCTACTGCATTGATGACCTGCACCTGCAGCACCTCACAGCTGTCTGCAACTCTACTTCCAGGGCAGGGTTCTCACCTTCCTAATGCTATAACCTTTTAAAACAGTCCTCATGCTGGGGTCACCCCAACCAAAACATTATTTTTGTTGTTACTTCATAACTGTAATTTCGATACGGTTATGAACTGCAATGTAAATATCTGTGTTTTCCAATGGTCTTAGGTGACCCTTTGTGAAAGGGTTGTTCGGTTATGCCACGACCCAGATTGAGAACCACTGTTCCAGGTGACCTGATGTCGTCTGACCTCTGCAAGCACCGGGTACACAGGCATCTGTGCAGGCAAACAGGTCAATGAAAAACATGCAGCTGTCTATGAAGAGGCTCATTCTTACCCTGAGTTTAGTAGCACAGCTCAGAAAGAGGATTAAAGGACACACAGCCTCAGTATTGTCTAAACACTGGCCATCTGGCAATAGCATGGGCTTTCTCCAGGACTCGGTGCCCGCCCAACTGGCTAGACTAAATATATGAGCAACTTTAAATACAAAATTCATTCACCTGGACCCAAGTCCCTTTTCTAAACCACAGTATTAGGCTGGCAGGTTTAGAGGGTAACAGTATTTGCTGCCAAACCTGAGTGTGACCCTGAAACAACACAGTGGAGTCAGAAAAACAATTCCAGCGAGCTGTCCAGACCTCTCCTCATATGTTCACTTACATACCACAAGCAAGTAACGCAAATCTCATTACTTCACCACAAAAATTAGAGGCTGACACACCCAGGGTGCTACATGAGGACCAATCAACGGCTGGTGTGGTGAGACATGCCTTCCCTTGGAAGGCAGAAGCAAGTGAATCTCTGTGGGTGCCTGGCTAGCCAGGACTAGACAGTGAGACATCCCCGCTTCCCCAAAAGAGACCGGATGCAGGTTTATAAATCACCTGCGGTAAAGTCTGGGCTTTTCCACTACTAACTGCCCTACGAAAAGCTGTTCTCTTTGTTCTGATCACATAATTTCTTGACATTCAATTAATTTAATTTAGATGGCAACTGGCTTCTTTGTACTTCATAAATTATCCCATTTAACTCTCCAAAGTTACCTGCTTAGCTGATGGCATACAGAAAAGTTCAGATTCCACAACAGACTGTCACAACTTGTCAACTGTATTTATAAACAGCAGCAATACAGTGGAGGTGGAAAAGCTTTGAACTCAAGAGTAAAGAACTAAAGAACTGGTTAATTATTCTTTCCTTGAGGGTACGCATTATTTAGCCATAAATTTCTATCTTAAAGATCTCACAAAAATAACTTTAAAAGGATATACAAAAGAGAGAACAATATCAATCATCTTTCAGAAATTACACCAGGCATTGGATCTGCAGTGCAGACTGAACAATTTTAAAGGAAGGCTGCTTTTTATGCACACATATTAGCCTGCCAAATACTGGGAGGTTACTGCGGGAAATCGAGACTTTTATTAGTTTACTTTTTATTGGTGAGACACATGGGATGGCTTCAAACTTGCTGTATCCCAAAGATGACTTTGAACTTCTAATCTTTCTGTCACTACTTCCTGAGTGTTGGAATTATAGATATAATTTATGTAGTTTATGTAGTCAAATCAAGGACTTCGTCCATGAAAAAAAATATACGAACGGAATTACATTCCCAGTCCAAAACTTTTATAATGAAGAAACTAAAACCAACTTTTATGTTAAAAAATAAAGCAAAGACATTTCACGTCTAAGAAAACACACTAACAATTTAGAAGAAAGCGTTTACCTTGCGGCCTACATACACGGGAATGCCGATGATCATGGCGGGGATGGCGATGCCAGCTATCAGAGCAATCCCTACAGGAGCACCCACAAGGGTTCCCAGCTGCCACAAGATTTTCTTCTTTCGGCTCCAGGGTTTCTTCCCCCAAAAAGTACAACCTGATGGACTGAGAGGAAAATTATATAATAACTGTTGGGAAACAAATAACTACAACATATCTAAGCCACAATTATAGAAGGGACTGTCTCTCATACTTAACTACTCCTCTCTTTTTTGTATTTTGGGGTCATTTAAAAGCCAAACGATTAAAGAAAGATCCACTTTAAATTACATAAACAGGATAATATTGTTAATTATGATGTAAAATTTATCCATAGTTCTCCATAACCTTCAGAACCTCCATTTCTGAATATTATACTGATTTAAAATAAAATATATTTATTCTATCTCCTATTTTAGGCACACAAATTATATAATTACATCCTAAATTCACACTGGGGCCTAAATGAGAAAATTTATTTATGAGAATGAAGAGCTGGATTAGCTGCATATAGCAGCAGATATTGGCACTGATGCTCAACAGCAGTGTAAAAGCAAAGGAACCTCCTCTGTTTCCTATCTTGGACTCGGTAATTCTAAGTTATTTAAGTATGTCTTGGTAGCTTTTAAGCTTATGTAAAGAGGAATACAATCCATTTCTTTAAGTAGCTTATAAATCTCAGGACTAAAAATACTTAAGATTAATACAGCGTGGTGGGTTGAAAGGAAATAGTCCCCAAAGGAAGTGGTACTACTAGGAGGTGTGGCCTTGTTAGAGGAAGTGTGTCACTGTGGGGGCGGGCTTTGAGATCTTTTCTCAAGCTTCCCTCAGTGTGACAGTTAGTCAACTTCCTGTTGCCTCCAAGATGTAGGACTCTCAGCTCCAGTACCACATCTGTCTGCATGCCACCATGCTCCCCACCATGATGATAATGGACTGAACCTCTGAAACTGTAAGAAGGCACCATAGGAAGTGGTTACTTCCTGTTCACCTAAGGCCCTTTCTTTATAGAGTTGTAGTGGTCATGGGGTCTTTTTATAGCAACAAGAACCTAACTAACACATGTTGTTTCCAAAACAAAAACTTTGATATACAATGTAAAGACTATTCATACATATATAGTTCTCTCCGTAAGCTTACCTTAGATAATGTAAATCAGAGATTTCTTTCATACACAACCAACAAAACTCACAGCCACAGACAGCACATGTCATATGATTGCAACTCCCATCATTCATCTTTATTATGTAAGCAGCACATCGTGGGCACGGCTTTATATCATCAGCTGTGAGGAACACAGACAAGAAAATATAAAATGTGTAGACACAGTTTTCAGATTGGCAGCTTTAACACTGCCCAAGCAAATCTGTGAAATTACATCCACTAGGTGGCAATTTTAGCCTGTTGTTTTTAGTACAGAAAGCATTTCTTTTCTTTCCTTCTAAGGAAATATACTTTGTAGTAAATTTTCAGGTTGTAACCATTTTCAAACATGGTAGCAAAGCAATAAAAACCAAGAATGACAGGAGTTCAGACTCCTGTATGCTGCCCTCTAGTGAAGGCACCACGTTCACCTAAGGCCCTGTACAGAAACACCCCTGAGAACAGCTTCAGAATACCTTATCCTCATGACTGCTAGTAAGCATTCTCCGTATTTGCTGTTCATTTATTCAAGTGTTGCTGGGACAACTGTATACTAATGTATACTAATGCATTACAAAATGCCCCACAGGGACAGGTTAGAATGTCATGTTAGATAACCTTAGGTATCAACAAAGGATGAGTTGTACCACCATTCTGAATTATAGCTGTTCTTTAAATACAGGCCACCATTAGCCAGTTGTATCCTCTATCTATATGCAGTTTAGAAAATGTATTTACAATTCTGACCACTGAGTTTAAGTATTTGTTCTATGTTATTATTATTTATTGACATTAAGTTAATATTCTCTTTTCCTTCCTGAAAGTTTTATGCTCAGTTTTTAACTGTTTTATCAATAAATTCAAGTTTCCTTGGTGTTTTTTGAAAGGCTGAAGCTATTTATAAGTTACGAATTAGTAAGGTTCACTTTAAGTGTTTTAATAATTCAAGCTATTTTGAGCAAACCAATAGCTCTAAGCAATCACAGACATGATAAAGGATTATTTTTAGAATACAAAAAGTAAAAGTATTTATAAATTATGATATAAATAACCCAAAGAATATAGCATTTGCATTACAAATTTTAAACATAGGGTAGACAAGAAAAAAAGCTAGCTTTTATACTTAACACAACATGTATATCAAAAAGAAATACCAATCCTATCTGCTCAAGAAGCAGCAAACACAAAATGGTAAACTTAGTAAAACATTATGAAATGATTTTTAGATTTTTTGAGAGTGGTGGCAACTCGACTGCATAGCTCTAGACCATGATCTAGATAACAATGCCATGTCACCATGATCTAGATAACAATGCCATGTCACCATGATCTAGATAACAATGCCGTGTCACCATGATCTAGATAACAATGCCATGTCACCATGATCTAGATAACAATGCCATGTCACCATGATCTAGATAACAATGCCATGTCACCATGATCTAGATAACAATGCCGTGTCACCATGATCTAGATAACAATGCCGTGTCACCATGATCTAGATAACAATGCCGTGTCACCATGATCTAGATAACAATGCCGTGTCACCATGATCTAGATAACAATGCCGTGTCACCATGATCTAGATAACAATGCCGTGTCACCATGATCTAGATAACAATGCCGTGTCACCATGATCTAGATAACAATGCCGTGTCACCATGATCTAGATAACAATGCCACCATGATCTAGATAACAATGCCACCATGATCTAGATAACAATGCCGTGTCACACCAGAGCTGCACACCTGCCCCAGCCCAAATCCCCGATTTACATGGCATGGTGTCATTAGTTTTATTTACCCTGAATGAACCAAATTGAAGTCAAACTGATACAACCTTTGCAGTCCAGTAAAACATGACTACATATACTCTCCCACGGTGACTACTTGGAGGAAGGCCAGTATTTGTTTAGATAACTAAGTTGTAACGCTCATCTAGAAATGTTCCGAGCAGATGTCTGCGGTGTTCCCATGTCTAATGTCATGAGAACATGTATGAGGCAGACCAACCGCAGCTCTACAGGCATAAGCACTGCAGTGGCTTCATCTTTAAGATGAGAGAAACCTTGCTCAGGTCACAGAGAAAAGGAGAATCTGGACCTTAAATTCAGTCCTGACTCTGGACTCCAAATCTGGTCCGGAGCCTATTCTATCTCTCTACATGCCTGTGTATCCTATGACCAAAAGATACCTCCCCCACTCTTCAAGGCAACATCCAATGGCTACTGCCAACTCTCCAGGAACAGGGCCTCACTAAAATCCTTCTCGATCCATAGCTACAATTATTATAATTATTGCTAAAATCTCTGTATTATACACTAAATCTTTAGGAGAGGAAATAGAAACGAATCAGTAAGCAAATAGGAATGAAACCCAAGTGTATTACATAAAATGTTAAATCCACATTAAAGCTTAAAAGACTTTTTCTCAAGCAGGATAAAGAACATGACAATCTCACTTTTTTTTAAACGCAAATTTCTATACTTTTGAAATTTTCCCATTGTAATTATCAAGACAGAATGTTTTCTAGTAATTAAAATTCCAATGAACTAAGAACATTCTGTTAACAGAAAATAGTGATTTTTTTTGACTAGTCAAAGAACATTAAGAACGCTAAGATATTTTAAAAACTTAAACTTTTTTTTTTTGATGTGGGATGTCCTTCTGTATCTGTAGTGCTTTTTTATTGGTTGATGAACAAAGTTGTTTTGGCCAGTGACTTAGCAGAGTAAAGCCAGGCAGGAAATCTGAACAGAGATATACAGAGAGTAGGCAGAATCAAGCAGATGGCAGTCAGTCACCAAGGAAAGAAAGTATGTAGAAAATGAGGTAACGCCACGGCCACAAGGCATTACACAGACTAATAGGAATGGGTTGACTTAAGACGTTAAGAGCTAGCTAGAAATATAACTGAGCCATCAGCCAAACAGTGTTGCTATTACTACCGTTTCTGTGTGATTGTTTAGGTCTGGGCGGTCAGGAGACGTCCATCTACGTTTCTTATTTTGAGGTTTATCTTAATTTTTAGTTACCCTCCAAAGACACCCTGAAGTTCTGTATGCCTTCCTAAGTAAGGTATGATTTCTATGTCCTTAGTACTAAATTAAATATATCTGAAATGTTTTAAGTTTCACAAAATACTTAAATGTGTGGTCTTTATACAAACAGAAATAATTATACATTGGTTCCATTCCAAATTACTACTTTATCAAATGTGTTTACAAGTCTTGTATATCCAATGGTCTAGTACACAAATAGGCAGTTTTTTTTGTTGTCATTGACAATGATATCTTTCCAATCTCAAAACTACTTTCTGTATTTATTAAACAAAAATACATCAAGAATAAGGTTTTCAGGACACAAATATGTAAAACATAAAACACTTTTTAACAGTGAAAACAAAATAACAAATTAATGGTAACTGAATACTCTTTAAGTTAAAATCACCAATCAATCTCCATGTGTCAAATAACCTATTTTTTGAAAATCAGACAGGGACTGGGCAGGTGGCTCAGTGAAGAAAGCACTTGCTTCAAGAGTGTGAATTTCCAGAAGACACAGTCAGGCACAGGAGTGCACACATCTGCAACCCCAGTGCTCCTGTGTTGAGATGGAAGGCAAAGACAGGAAGTCCTCTAAGTTCACAAGCCAGTTAGCCTGACATACATACCAGAAAAGAACAAGATGATACCTTGTCTCGGTCAAGCGAAAGGTGAGGTCTAATACCTACGTTATCCTCACCTGCACACACCCGTGCGCACAAGCATGCGTGCACACACCTACAGCATAAAAATAAAAGCAGACACACTACCTGCTGCTCCAGACTCCTGGCTGTAGCTAATGGACGAAGAGCGTATAGTTCGTAAGCGTAAACTCTGGGCTCTCTCCTGCCGAGCAGCATCACAGGTCTGGTTTGGATGCCAGATCTGCTTACAGTGGTAGCAAAACTCTGTCCCACAGCCTTCTCGCCCACAGGTTAATTTAGGACAGCTGGCACATCCAAATGCTATCACAGCGTATCTTGAAAGAACAAAGAAAACGACTTAAAATGTGACACAAAAACAAGATCAATTCAGTAAAAACTTAAGAAGCATTCAATTAAAATGCTACTCAGAAAACACTTTTCAGATATGTATTAATAAAATATCATAAACCCTAACACAATCTTACCAACATGAAAATAAGAGAAAAATGGTAGTTCATAAATCAAAGTAGCATAAATACCTTAAAAAATTCTATATACTTTCAAATTTTAGCCAGGCGTGAGGGTGCATGTCTTTAATCTCAGCACCCAGAGGCAGATGCAGGTGGATCTCTGTGAATTCAAGGCCAACTTGGTCTATAGAATAAATTCCAAGACAGCCAGAGTGAGACCCTGTCTCAAACAAAACAACAAAAACAATGTCATAGTAACCAATGAAGGACTGGAGAGATGGCTCAGCATTTAAGAGCACTTGCTGTTCTTACAGAGGAACTGGGTTAGATTCCTATAATCTACATGGTGGTTCATAACTGTCTAATGCCAGGCACAGGGGATTTGATGCCCTCTTCTGGCCTCCATGGGTACTACATACAGGGACTGCACACATGTGGTACACAGACTTACATGTAGGCAAAACATCCATACATATAAAAATATTACTTATTAAAACATATTTTTAAAAGGATAGTTAATTCATTGCAGTCCCAGAGGCAGGGTAAAGAATTGACATTTTATTTTCAACTTTAAAGTACATGATTTAAAGCCAAGTTTTTATATATAAAAAACAATTCAGTGAAAAGGAAAAGACATTTTATTCTAAACCTCTTCCATATCCTATCTTTTACTAAAGGAATGAAGGAGGCTAGAGAAAGAGGAGGGGCAGAATGGGAAATGGGAAACCAGAGGAAATTCAAAGGCTAAGGTTAAGGTCAGCTGGGTTTTGTTTGTTTTAAAATGGCTGCAATTGGTGACCCGGTTCAGTGGTAAGAGCAGGACCCTCATTTTATTCCCGACATCCATCTACATGATGCTCAAACTATACAAACAAGTTTCATGTTAGGAGGTAAAGTTTTCTATATAATACCAATATAATACCTGTAACATTACCAGCTACATATAAATTATGCTCTTAATCTCTAGAGAGCCAGCACAAACAATAACGTAAAAATAAAGGGACTCTAACGAGTTTTCTGTCCTTTGTAGTTAATACTACTGACAGTCATCATCAACAACTTACTGCATAGCCAAATTAAGGAAGGATTATTGTTTTTCTTAACAATAGAATTTATTGAATTAAGTACTCCTATTTTGTTTCTCTAGGTGTTAATCTCTCTACTGTAAAGTGTATTCAATTTTAATAATGTAGCAAGTGAGTAAATTATCCAAGTATATTTTCTTATTAATTTACCTTTTACTTTTATAATTAGTTCTGTGGTCTGCCCTGGTTTTGTTTAACGTGTTATGTGAGGTGACAAGATAATACAGAGCTATTTATCACGTGGAAGTAGTGGGCCCTTAGAGTTTCTGTCTCAGTTTATGCTGGCCACAATTCTTCATTAGGTAACTCGTGTCCTAGGGGTCCATGACGGACACTTGGAAAGCCACACCCTCCACATGCTATATACAGCAGGAATCAGTTCTCAGTGTTTGAAGTATTTTACCAGAGCATTAGATATAATGATTCTAAAAGGTTAAGGTAGAATGTTTTGTCCAACTCAAAATCTGATTTGATGAGAAAGATTTTCACTCTTGCACCAGTGACAACACTGTACAAGGTCCTACAGGCTCAAGAGTGAGTCACAGCCACGCTGCTGGTTTAAACAGGATACAGTATCTTCCTCAAATTATTGGAAAGCACTGCTTGTTAATCCTATTTTCTAGACACAGAGTGTAACTTGTCCTAGATTCCAGAGTTTGATTCTGCCATTACACCTGGAAGCTCAGCTAGCCCTGGCCTAGTTTGAAGAGTTAACTTCTCTTTACACACACACACACACACACACATATACACACACCTACCAACTTCCATTTCTGAGGCAGGGTCTTATGCAGCCCTGGCTGGCTTTGAACCTACTATGTGGATGTGGATAATTTTGAACTTCTGACTGTCCTGCTTACACTTCTCAAGTGCTAAGATCATAGGCCTGCACCAACATACTCAGCTTACACGGTGCTGGGGATCAGACCCTGGACCACACACTTGATAGGCACACACTGTACCATGAGCCCGTCTATAGTATCTTCAATGTATGCTTTTGTTATGACAGAAACTCTTTAGTATTGGGAAGCATAATTCAAAACCAATACTAGGTTGTATCTGAAACTTACATAACTAATGAATTCATGACTTATTAAGTAACTAAGTTTTCAATGCTTTATATCACACAGTAAACCTTGGTAGACAGTTGTGTGTTCACTTATTTACCCAGATGGGAAATACTTAACTTTTTCCATTAAATACTTAAATTTTTTAAAAATTAGGCAATATAAACTAGATGCAATCTGAAAATTTACTCAACAAGTTTTTAAATATTAGTTTGATTCAGGCAATAAATTCTGAAACTATAATTTAATAAACTCATATCCTAGTTTTCCCTGGATCTACAATCAAGTAATACAGAGATTCAGGGTTTTCATAAACTCATTTATATAATGCACGGGGTACTAATAATATGGTAAATTTTACTATTTTTGGTAGTCTTTTATGTGTTTTCATGTGGTATGTGTAGAGAAGTACACACACACATGGAGGAGGCACATGCATGTGAGGCCAGAGGTGGATAAGGCTTGTCCTTCACTCACTCTCCACTTAATTTAGCGAGAATAGCTGGTCAATGAGCTTCAGAATCCACCTAACTCTGCCTGGCCCCTAGAACTGAGGTTACAGGTATGTCCACCAGGGCTAGCTTTTTTACACAGATTCTGGGGATCCAGATTCAGGTCCCCCATGTTTGCAAAGCAGTCATCTTACCAACCGACCTATCTCCCCATTGTGGCTTTTACTATAAAGGGCATATAACTTACCTAAAGGGAAAATAATCTGGTTTTTCTTAGTTCTGACAACTGTACAACATTCAAGCTGCAGTTACACAATAATTAAATATATATGCAAAATTATTTTATTTTAAATGCTAAAGAAATGACATTTGTCATTTAGAACTTGAGGTAATGAATTATTTAATTCCTGTGTGTAGCAATTCTTGAAACCTGAAAATGTTCACATATGAACACTAACACACACATTGATTTGTGGTATAAAATACCTTTCAACAAATAACCCTAACATTGAGCATTCTGTTATCCCCAAATAAAAACTGCTCATGGATGAAGAAATGCCAATCTGCTTATAATGTAATCCTCTCTCCACCATCTTCCTCGTAGTTGTCTTCACAAATGCAGGTAAGAAGAATAGACAATATAAAACAAGGCAGGATCTCTGAATTTCAATACTTAGCATGGTATATATCCAAAATGTTTTGTTTTGACTACAAGAAAATTCTTTTATCCCTAGAGATAACAAATGAAGAAATGCAAGCGATGTGCCCTCACCCGCAGTCTGGAGCTGGACACCACCTACAGTCAGGGTCTGCAACAAGCCATCGCCGAAGCATGAACTCTTCGTACTTTTCCATTAAGACGTCATCACTTAGTATCAACCGAATATCATGGGGATTAAACCGTTCGGTGCATTCTGGACAACTGATATTCACTCTACTTTCCGAGATTTCTATCCTTAGGTACTGCCGTAAGCAATCCACACAAGACCTATGGTGACAAGTCATTATATCAGGAAACCTGTCTTTAGAATGCCTCAAGAGGCACAATGGACACTCTAGGAAGTCTCCGATTTGTTTGCTGATAGAAGTCAATCCATTGTCGGAAGAGGTATTTGTAGAGAAAATGGAGTTCTTATCAGTACACATCTCAGAATGTATACTTTCAATACTTGCAATTCCATCCACTCCGCCATTGAGCTCCCTTGATTTACGTTTGTTGTCCTTTTTCCTCCGAAAGAGAGAGCCTATTGAAATTCTTCTCTTTTTTGGCGCCTTTTTGACAGAAGGTAAGCTCACAGATGAGGCAGAAGACTGAAGATCTCTATCCGAACCCATTTGCCGATGTAAACTCATGTCTAAAATGCTCATTAGAATTGAGTTGGGGTCAGTGTTCATACACAGCCCTTCATTATACTTAAAAATAAAATTTATTTTTTGTTCTTGTAGACAGATTAAGTCATGATGTAAAAAATCCTATTGGCTCCTTCAGAAAATCTTGAAAAAGTCCAATTAGAGAAGACTGTTGTCACAGATGTCCTATAAAAAAACAGAAAACAAACAATTTAACTGTATTTTTATGTGTATGTTTTTATAATCTTACAGGTTCTCTGTAAAATTTTTAACAAGTATCTTCTATAACCATCAGCTTAAAAATTAAAGTTGTTAGTCTACAGGAAAACATACAATGAATGCTGAAATAGCAATGAAAACATTCTTTAACCCTAATAAAAGGTTTTCTACACTTGAACTAAAACATTTGTTACAAAAGTCTTAGATAAATCTTGATGCTATCACTGACTTAAATGACTCCTCACTGTTTTTAATTAGAAATAAAATGTACATGTAAACAAAAACTAGGAATAGCTTGAAGAATGACATTCTAAGTAGAGAGTCTCTAACATTCCAGAAACAATCACTCACTATAATTTAATAATTATGGTAATGTTATTAAGATGGTGACAGACCAAAGGCATAGAATATGGTTGCAATGGTCTGTCCTGTCCCTTTAAGAGACAAGCCCAGCCCACCCCCCATCTCCCACTCCTCCACCCTCCATCCCCCCTTCTGCTGATCTTCCTTCCACTTCCAGCCTGTGCTCTCTCTGCCCTCCTCTCCTCACCCCCCTCTCTCCCTCTCCTTCCTTCCCTTTTACTAAATAAACCATATCCAAACTCACTTTGCATGGCGTGCCTATCCACCTATCCATCTCTGTCTTTCACTGGACGTGGCTCCTGGTGGGACCTGGCTCCCCCCTCTCCATGGCCCACTGCGCCCCTCAGGGAACCACAGCATTTTACTAAACCCTTACAAGGGTCTTTTAAAAAAATCTCACATATTAGCTGGGCAGTGGTGGTGAACACCTTTAATCCCAGGACTCGGGAGGCAAAGGCAAGCAGATGTGAGTTTGAGGCCAACCTGGTCTACAGAGCAAGTTCCAGGACAGCTAGGACAACACAGAAAAATCCTGCCTCAAAATAAATAAATAAATAAATAAATAAACAAAATAAACAAACAACAAAAAAAAATCTGAAAAAACAAAATGTCACCTATTATATTTGATTTTTAACAAAGGTGATCTCGTTGAGCACTAAAATTGGTCTTTTTAAAATTGAGAGAGGATCAGGAATTTGACCAATGGCTCACCCCATAAAAGCACTTGCCACACAAGCTAATGGCCTGGGTTCAATTCTGGAATATACATTGCTGAAGGAGGGAAGCACCTCCTCAAAGCTTTCCTCTGCATGCATATACTGTGTCATGGTGAATATAGAAACACACAAGCGAATATAATAAAATAAATTTTTTAAAAATCAGTTACAGCAAATTTACAAATTTAAATGGAAGAAGCTTTTAGGAAACAATGAGAATATTTCAACAAAAAGATTTCTTATACAGAACATTACAAGTGCTAATCATAAAATAAAAGGCAGTAAACGGCAAAAGAAGGTCCAGGAAGCGAGTATTACCAGCGTGCAGAAGACACACGCCACAAAAGAATGGTGTTCAGACAGGTGACGCGCATAAACACATAAAACAGACAACCCAGAAGAGAACTGGACAGAGGACACAACACCATCCATTGTCATTACAGCCACACAGACAGGTCACTATGCAGTAAACTGATAAACCAGGAGAGTGGTATTTCTAGATGCTGGCAGGGATGTGGAGGAGTGAGCACTCTCTCACGATGGTGGTGAGAAAATAAGATGGCACAACTACTTTGGAAACGATCTAACAGCATCTACCAAACTGGAGCAAAAGGTCACCCAGCATTTTTACTCCTAAACAAGAACACACACAATAAACTGGGAAACACGGTTAGCAAAGAACAAGCTTTCTCATTCTCCAAGCAGACTTTACACTGTACCAGGAGGAAAACAACGTAAAAGTCTGAGAGACACACAAAGACTGAAGCAGTTGGTTTTGAGTATTACAAAAATTAGTCAGACAGGAAATAATTTAACAACAATCACAACTAAAGAAGTAAAAATCTGTGGAGGTCTGAAAATGTGAGCCTGTTTCCACACCGACCAAAGGTCGGAGATCCTTTATGGAGATAACACTGGATTTCACCCAGGGAGTGATTTGCCTACAGAATGTTTTGGTCTAGGGTGTGACGTGACTTGTTTTGTTCTAGCAATAGAATGTTTAACTATGAATGTAGCTTGCAATTTTCAATTGAACACGGGTGAATTTTCAGAACTCACTGGAATTCCCTCCAGATACTATCCTATATGTTTCTTTGTCTTATTATTTCCATTCGCATCTTCATATTCTTTACTATATTTCTAATCCCCACACCTTTTCCCTGGCGAGAGGTATTTTTGTCATGGCTGGTACCCAACAAAAATCCAAACATTAGATACTATTTTGTAGATACCAACAACGTTGTAAAGGCTGATAATCTAGTCCAGTGAAATAATCACCTCAAGTCTTGAAGAATCAAAGCACAATGTGTGTGTGCAAACCAATTTACCATTATTTTAAAACAGAAATATTCTTAAGCCCAGGTGTTCATCCTTCCAGTGAAATAATAATACATAGATAAATCTATCTATTGCTGTATAGTTGGTAAAAGGGAGGGGAAAAGCAAAATAACAAAATCTCTAAGCACACCTTTATTCCCAGCACTTGGGAGCAGAGGCAGGTGGCTCTCTGAGTTTGAGGCCAGCCTGGTCTACAAAGAGAAACCCTGTCTTGAAAAACAAATAAATAAGTAAATAAATTACGTTTGAGTATTCAACTGGGCACTTAAATGAGCAAACATAATCCAAACATAATCTATGGAAAGATTCATACAGAACTGAGAAATGACAATCACAAAATAGTATATATAGTATGAGACCATTTGTAGATTAGGTATACAATCTTTGGTATTGTTTTGGTATTTAAAATTTTCAGTGATTTGGCTGCACACCCCACTTATAAACCACAATACTAAAAACACTTTTGCTGTGGAATAATCCTGTACACTGTGAAAACGTGTTGCTCTCATTGTCAATAAAAAGCTGACTGGCCAGGAGCCAGGCAGGAAGTACAAATGAGACAACCAAACTAAGGATGCTGGGATGAAGAAGGGTGGAGTCAGGGAGACGCAGTAGAGACAGAGGAAGCAGGATGTGTAGAAAATGAGCTATCGGCTGAGCATTTATAATTAATATTTCATCTGCAGTCTGGTTATTTGAGAGCAGCTGGGACACAGGGAAACTTCACCTACAAATGGTATTCCAATGTGGGGCCAGATTTTCCACGTAAGACCTGACAAAGCTTAAAAAGGGATTCTAAACACACAAAAAAACGGAATCAAGCGTGGCTTCTAGGTGATTGACTTTTCCCAGGTAAACTCTGTTTGCTAGTGGCAAACAGGGGCAGCTTCTTGGTTCGTGCTATCAGCAAGGGCAGGGGGTTCTTTGGGGTTTATGAGCCGTGGGCTGCACACTACTCAGTGGCAGTGCAGATCCAAAGCTCTCCAGAGCTGAGACAGAAAATGTGGCTCTCCTGCTGGTACCTACACCATGAAGCTAGGCTCTCAGGGAACCAAGTGAGTGGAGTCAGGCATCAAAGTAGAGGCTTTGGTCCTAGCCATGCCACTTAACAGTTTAAAGGCTCATGCAGTCCGAAAGAGATTACAGATAGGCAATAAAGAGAATCAGATGAAAAAAAAAACTCCAAATGGGTTACAATGTGCTTAAAAATATGTGCAAGCTTAGGAGAGAAAAGGGAAGGTATAGACAGTCACAAAAAGAAATATATAACTTTAAAATAATAAAGTCCTTAAAAGGGGAGTAAGTAATAAAAAAGAAGTCACATAAAGATGGGAAATACAGAGCCAGATCCTATATGTTATTGTGGTGTCTTTAAATTTTTTGGCTGCTAAGAAATGCTGGATTATGAAAGCTCATTGATTAAAACAACCTATATATTTAAAAAATATCTTGACTTCAAAATTTAAGTCAAAAGAAGTGTTATTTTGGGGGAGAGGGTTTGCTTTAATTTCCACAGGAAATAAGAAGCTGTGGGTTCATTCTGGGTTAAAGAAAATCAGGTTTGACTGAGGAAGACCCCCGAACTTCTGACTACAGACATAAAGAACTACAAGACATATGATGTAAATGTTACCTGCTCAAACACAGAACAAAAGATAACAATCTTTGGCTGACTTATGTACAAGCACAGCCTATACTTGTATTACAAATATGTATGTTACCTTTAAAAGTTTACATATTTTCAGAGCAAGTGGACCAGACACTAATAAAAATGGATGGTCCAGGTGACCCTGGATCCAGAACGGCTTCAAGGCTGCTGACTGAGATGATCCAGCCTCACAGAATACTCCAGACAAGACCTAACAATCATCCTCATTTTCTCAAGGTCCGCCCCCCACAAAAATCCAGCACCCACAACCAACAGGAAGTAGCCCAGAGAATGACAGCCACATTCCCAAAATAGCCACATTCCCAAAATACTGGTTATGGATGTTTGTTTTCATTTAAGGGGGGGTTGGTTACTAGTTATTATTGGTCATAATAAAAAAGGGATAAACATAAAAAGAAAAAAAGGGGTATATGATATAGAAATGATAGGATAAAAGGGTAAATTACTGAATCTACTTTTAAACTAAAAAAAGCAACTAACTACCAGTCAAATATTTTACAATGCTATGGAATTTTGTGTAGAGAAACAAATTTAAGGTTATTCTTGTTACACTGTATGTATGTTTCTAATCTTGTTTAAGGTATTGTACCTACACAGCTTATTTAACAATGTAAATTTCTAGTCACTGAAAGTTATCTCTATAAGCTATTTAGCATAATTAAAAATACAGGCTAATAGTCACCCATAATATTAAACTTATAGTCATGTTAGGCATGTTTTCAAGGTCATACACAGATATATTTAGTTAGCTAAATGGTATTCAAACACTTCAAAGACCTACAGAATATGGCATTCAATATGTTTAATAACCTAAGGCTTTTCATGACCGTGAGACATGTTCGTTTCTGGCAGCACTGATCTATTTCAACGAAGATGATGAG